AGGCGCCCCCCCCCCCCCGTTTGTAACTAGGGATCCAACGTAAGTCGGATTGATGTAACCCGGGGACTGCCTGTACACAGTACACACTCAATATATTTAATTATATTGTTAAAAATGAACAGAAAGCGAGGTAACTCTGTTGTAATCTGCCTCTTCCTCAATAATAATTATTTCTGGCATTGAGGGCCTAGCAGGGATTTATTTACAAGACAAATTAATACACATTTGTACTTCATATCTACAAGAAATCAGGATTCAGCACTTAGCGTTTCAGGTCTCCAAAGGAATGAGGCGTGACCCTGGTGGACATGTGACCCGGTAAAGAGCAATTAATCTAATCACTAATCTCCCCAACCCGGTTCTCTAATCTCTGCACTTCTCCCTCCCTCTGTGTTTAAAGAAATCTCATTCATTACATAAGCATGTTCTCATCGCAGCAGACAAGCACTACCAAGTTCTAGGAGACAGAGAAATAGGCTTTGACTAAATTATAATCTGGGGACCCTAAGGGAATAATTCTAAATAGGTTAGCCCAGTTTACTCTCTATGCATGGAAACGTCTGAGTCATTCATAGACTATTAGAATACTAACCTCCCCCCGCTCATTTCTTCATGCCCCATACTGAAAAAACCAGAAAATAAATATGGTATTTCAACATAATGCTCTTGCTTGGTTCTCTTTACTTTTCCTCACAGGTCCTTTTACCCAACATCTGTCCATCTGGTAACTTTCTGATATTCAATTTATATTTGTTCTTTAATACTGAACACAGCATTGTGCCTGAGTTCTAACCAGCACTGATGAGGTTAGCATGATTATCTTCCTTGTTTCACAAACTATTCAGTTAAATCAACTCAATATAACATCTATCTTTTTTTGCAACAACATTGCATGGTCAATTAACTTTCCATTTATTATTTATTTTATCCTCCAGAGATTTCCCTATGCAGTATCTCAGGCTACAGTGTACTCCCCAATCCACTGTCATGCAGTTGATTATTTCTTCCTACAAAAATCAATTTATATTTATCTTTACTGACTTTCTTTTTATTTACTTAGTTCATTTTTCCAAATCACAGATCATGATGTTTTAGCTTCACACTGAACTGCAAGATAGAGGATCATGAATTCTAGTCTCGGGTGTTTCACTGGCTGCTGCTGCTGTTGCTATTTTGTTGCCCTTCACAATCTTATTATTAACAAAGCCTCATCCACTACTATTGTATATCTATTTTACAGATTAGATAACAGTGGTTATTTCAGGCAAAATTGTGAATCAGACCCAAATCTGATCCACTTTGTCACATTGACTTTCAGAATGACCATGTCCCATTATATGCCTGCATAACCCATAATACTGCAGGAATACTCTGTCAGCATCTAGCAGCTAGATCAGATATAGAGTTTTATGACTCTACTGCCTTCATTGACACATTTCTTAAGCACAAGTGATAGGGTATGTCTACACTACAGCACTATTTCGAATTAACTTAATTCGAAATAGTTAATTTGAATTAAGCTAATTCGAAATAACGCATCTATACACAAAAACTATTTCAAAATAGCATTTTTCTATTTCGAAATAGCACGTCCACACTGAGTGGACCCTGAACGGAAGTTAAGGCTGGCCGGAACCAGTGCCGGCAGGGCATTAGGTTAGGACTTAGTGTGTGGGGCTGCTGCCTGAGGCTAACTGAGCTCCGTGCTTAAAGGGACCCTACCCCCACCCCAGACAGACAGTTCTCAGAGTTCCCTACTTGTTTGTCTACCTCGATGAGGGACAGCAAAGCAGCCCTGTCTTGGAGTGCCCTGAGTGCCCACACTCGGGACACCAAAGCACTCGGACACATAGAGCCAGAGCTGCCCCTGGGCACGCCGGTGCGTCTCGTGGGGTCGTTGCCATCAGCCCGGCTGCACTTGCTGCAGGCTGCCATCCGGAGGGGAGGAGGGTCCATTGGTAGGCTGTCAGGATCCAGGAAGTCCTGAGGGAGAGCATCCACCCTGAGGAGCCCTCAGAGCCTCCCTGGTCCTCCCCACTCAGGGCTGGTGCCCCATTCCTCCCTTATGTCTTTCCACTTACTCCTTCCTAGCCCACCTTTCTGATGTCAAATAAAAGACACGTATGTTCAAAAATAGAAACTGGGTTTATTGAACAAAACTGGGGGGAAATGGACCTCTGGGGAGACTGGGAAAAGGAAGTGGGAGGGGGGAAGAGGGAGGGTGGGAGAAGGGAGCTGGAAGGGGGAAGCCAGGGGAAGAAGGGGGAGGGGAA